TGTTGTAAAACACATGTTAATTTACATGTCCATTACGACGAATATGTATTTTCATTGTATATTCGTTGTAATTTACGACGAAATTACTATGAATCATAAAAAAATATTTAAAACCCTATCGAATAAATAAATTGAGCATTTTCTATGTAATATCAACATAAATTTACGACTAATTTACGATGAAAGTAATGTAAAAAAAACTAGAAGGAGTTTACAGTCATCGGAACAGTTTTTATCAACCCCCCATAGCGTTCCTCGAGCTATCTACTCTATGAAAAGCCTCGAGCTATTTCCTTGAGAAAAAGCTACGAGGAGTTGATAAGAAATTTTCTGGTGACTGTGCACTCCTTTCAATTATAAATTTTATGTTTTGTATTTTTTTTTACAATCAACGTAACAGATCCTAACAATCCCGCATAGCTTTCCTCGAACTATTTACTCGAGAAAAAGCTATGAGGAATTGATTAGGAACTATTCTGATGACTATGTATTTTTTTCTATTTTTTGGTGTGTTTAGAAGAGTGATCAAATGACCTATATATGAGAACTTTTCGAGTTTGGTAGGTAAGGGTGTAACAACGAATTTACAAAGTTTTTACAATGAAATATCTTACTTGTCATTTACAACTTAACCACATGCGGTTTACTAGAGTTTTACAACGAATATAGTTAGGTGAAGCTCACTCCATAAATTTTTTCTCGAAAAGTAACTTTAACAGGATTCGTCGTAAACATCACGTAACATTACAAGTAAGTTACGACGAAATGTCTCTTTCCTCGTTCTCTCATCGTAATTTTACATCTGTCTTACGACGAAATATATTCCACGTAATTTTACGTGGTCTTTACGACGAACTCAATATTCGTCGTAAACTCCACAAAATGTACACGTAAGTTTACGACGAATATTTTTCATCGTAAAGTGTCGTCGTTACAGAATGATTTTCTTGTAGTGACAAGTCATTTTCCATGTAATATTTTGGTCCATCAAACAAATTTTCAGTAGGAGAATTTCTCAAAATAGAAGTGAGAAGCTGATACATTTGTGCCAGAAGAAATACATTGAAAAAAAATACTTAAACAGTTTCACATGGCCAAGTCTAAAATGTTGAACACTCCTATTGACGCACACTTACTGAGCAGTTAATAAAGTCTGAAGACATATGCAGAGAAGATGGTGAAGGTTCGACATGCTTATGCAGTGGGTAGTTAATGTATGTCATGGTCTATACAAGACCGGATTTAGCCTACGTTGTTGGTACAGTAACTCAATTTCTCTCCAATCCAAGAAGAGAGCATTGGAATGTTGCTAAGTTGATTTTGAGATATCTCTGAAGAACCTCTGATATGAAGCTTACCTTTAGAAGTAAAAAGCCAATGCCTATTAGGTACACTAATATTGACATGTCTGAAAATGTTTATTCCACAAAGTCTACATTCGGTTACTTGGTAATGTTTGCGGATAGAGCTATGACATGGCAGTCCAGTTACAACAGTGTGTTACATTATCTACCACTGAGGTAGAATTCATTTCTGCAATTGAAGCTTTTAGAGAGATTTCATGGATGAATAAATTCTATGAGGATATCGGTTTCAAGCAAGAAAAGTATGTGTATCATTGTGACATTCAAAGCGGCATTAGTCTCGAAAATAACTCTACATTTCATTTGAAGTCGAAGCACATTGATAGAAGTTATCACTGAATATGTTATTTGTGGTTGCTTCTAAAGAAGTGGAACTTGAAAATTTCATACGAAGGTTATAGAGCTAGTATGAAGACGAATATGTTGCCAAGGGGGGAAATTTGAGGTATGTCGAGAGATAGCCGGAATGATAATTTACTGCACCTAGTAAAAGGGGGAGTTTGTTGGTGATCCTCCTAGTGAGGAAACCAATGGGTTTGGTTGGGAGAACCAAATTTTGGGTTTTGACTATTGATATTAATCCAGGAGATTAATATTGAGCTAGTGGTTAATGAGACACTAAATAAAGTCTCCAAATCTAATTTATGTTGTTAAACTTAACATAAGAAAAGAGATAGAGATTAGACAAAGGAGAGACAAGGAGAGAAAGAGGTATATTCGTCTAAGGATTGTCAAGACATGGTTTTGGGGGCATAAACTGATCCTTTTCAGGCTGATATTTTGTGGGAATGTTCACTCAGTGGGGTTTGAGATTCAATGGTGAGATTTGCATCACAGCAATTATTTCTCTGTAATATGAGTTTTAGTGAGGTTGATCAATATAATTATTCAGCAGTATTGTCTCGAGTGTTTGGTAAAACTGACGTAAAAATTTTCTCTGATTGAGTGGATATCTGGAAGAAGTGTTGTTGACTTGTTCATATTGGACTTGTATGGTGAGATTAGTCTCTGGTTGATGTCATTTTGTTGCAGCCTATTTTGAAGCGCTTGTGTTGTTCTCTTGTTGTTATTATTCTTGTGTTGGAGATTATTATTTGTAGTTGAGTCTCTGAATTTGTTCAAGTTCTTGAATAGAAAGAACGTGGTTATATTGATATATGTTTATGTAGTGAATCTTAAGTAGATAGCGATTCCGTAGTTTTTTTCTCACACTGAAGAAGTTTTTTCACGTAATAAGTGTTGGTCTCATTTAAGATTTATTTATACAATATTATGCTATTGTTAACCTAACTTTCCTCACAATATTAATCCAGGAGATTAATATTGAGCTTGTGGTTAGTGAGACACTATATAAAGTCTCTAAATCTAAATTAAGTTGTTAATTAAAGTTAGCATAAGAAAAGAGATAGAGATTAGACCTAGGAAAGACAAGGAGAGAAAGATGTATATTCGTCTACGATTTTCAAGACATGGCTTTGGGGGCTTAAACCCATCCTTTTCAGGCTGATATTTTGTGGGAAGCTTGTTCACTCAGTGGGGTTTGAGATTCAATGGTGAGATCTGCACCACAACAATTATTTCTCTATAATATGGGTTTTAGTGAGGTTGATCGCTATAATTATTCAGCAGTGTTTCTCGAGTGTTTGGTAAAACTGACGTAAAAAATTTCTCTGATCGAGTGGAAATCTGGAAGAAGTGTTGTTGACTTTTTCATATTGGATTTTTATGGTGAGATTAGTCTCTGGTTGATGGCATTTTGTTGCAGCCTATTTTGAAGCGCTTGTGTTGTTCTCTTGTTGTTATTATTCTTGTGTTGGAGATTACTATTTGTAGTTGAGTCTCTGAATTTGTTCAAGTTCTTGAATAGAGAGGACATGGTTATATTGATATATGTCTATGTAGTGAATCATAAGTGGATTACGATTCCGTATTTTTTTTTCTCACTCCGAAGAGGTTTTTTCACATAATAAGTGTCGGTCTCATTTAAGATTTATTTATACTATAGTATGCTATTGTTAACCAAACTTTCCTCACAATATTTAGTTTTAATATATTTTTTTAAGTTACAATTTTTTTATCATTCGGTCAAATGTGATAATTCAATAATTTAGTTTAACTATTTAGATCGGCATAATCAGTTTGGTATGGATTTTTTCTGTTCGATTTGCATTTGGTGTTAGATCTGCATATTTTGATCTACATCACCCCTTCAAAGTCATAAAAACTCAGTAAAGCACGATTATAAAAAATTCATTACTTTTTTCTTATAGTACTTGTATATAAATATAATTATCCCCTATATATTAATTGATGATCATTTAAAAAGTAGTAACCTTAAGTTTTTATTAATTAAAAATAACTCCAATCTTATGTGGCATATCTCTTTGCTTTCTAAATTTTATTTAACACAATTCTAGAGCACCTAACATATACCATAATTTAAACATATATTTACTAGAAAGATGTTGGTCGCATATCTTATTAATCTTAAAAAAAAATATTATTCATTCTTTCCTTAAATAAAAGCTACGGAATTTCCTAATGTGATGACAATATATATATGACAATTAATAATTTCAATAATAAAGATCTGATAACAATTTGTATACCCTCTACCATTTTTTAATATTTGTTATTAAAATAAATTACACAATTACATTATTTATATAATTAAAAGTTATATATTTTCGTATATATTGTATTTTGAATTTTTTTAAACGGGTATAAATTACTAAACTGTTAGAAGTCTCAAATAAACTTTTTGTGATCAATGGTTAATACATATATCTATGTTAACTTAAATTACATACCATATACAAATACATACTTATATTTTGATATTTTCATTTAAAAAATATTAGGAATCTAATATGTTAATTTTAAATTTTGCATACATTTTTTAATAGTTCAAAATTTTGTTATAAAAAAATATATTGATTATCATAAAACCTTATAATGAGAAAATTCATCTACTAAACATCCATATTAAAGATATATTATAGATATTGTTAATGTCATTTAAATGTAATTGTATCTAATATATGATGGATAAAATTGATTGTTTTGATTTATTTACTATAAAATGATTGTTAATAAATAAGAGTGATGGTTTGATTTAATTGCACGCACCAAATTATTTATATACGTAATAGTGATTGAGTTCTCAGTTATTCAATCTATATATTTCGAATTTATTATTTCATAATATGTAAAAAAATATAAAATAAATAATAGTATACAGATATAGTTTGTATATAAAAATTTTATTCTGCGCAGATCTTATACAAAAGTTAGGAAAAGAAAATGCAACACAATTTTATTTGTATGATTTCACCATATACAACAAATTCTCGAATGAATAATATATAAAGCAAGATACACGATACTTACATCTTATTCCCCTACCATTTATAAATGATTATATAAAAATTTTGAATTCTATTTAATTTATAGACCGACCAACATATCAAATTTTTTTTCTCGTAACTAAATGTTTATATTATAATTTTTCGAACACACTCAGCGCAAGGCGCGGATTTTATCGTAGTACAATAATATAGGAAGATTTGATACAACAATGGATCCATGATCCTTCCAGCTTGTGAGCAGTGACAAATCTAGAAATAATTATTATCCGGGAAAAACAACAAAACACTGTCTAAAATCTGTATAACAGTACTAAATTTGCAAATTCATGGTGGGCATATGCCTCTCCCACATTGAGTGTAGACTTGCCACTGCGTGTGAGTCTTTTATCTGTTGAACAGATTAATAATGTGCTAGACCCAGTAAAGAGATGAAGAAACTTATGCATACAAATCACATGCTTGCTAAAAACTATGGAAACTACAGAAGCAGTACTACTAATATAAAAGATCAACATTAATACAACGTTTATACTTGTTACATCATGCTTTCTTGGGATGCTTGTGGGCATTGTAAAACCTTCCAAATCCTTTGAAAGCCTTGGATAGCTTCACAAGGTTAGGCCTTGCAATTCCCAAATGCATCTTACCAGTTGAGAACTTCAGTGCCTGTAAGCAACACAGTTGCTGCTGATCAATCCCATCATCATCTTCTTCTTCCTCTTCCACTACTACTTCCTTCTTCTCTATGCTCTTAGTCTTCATCATCATCGACCTCTTGGTCTTCTTCTTATCCTTCTTCTTATCTTCTTCAGTTTGCTTCTTCTCTGTTTCGGTCTCGTAAGTCTCCCAAAGTTGATCCATCCCTTGTCCTACGTCAGCGTTGTGTCGCTCCTCGAACAGCTTGCATGCTAATGTTCTCCTCCACTCTTTCTCTTTCCTCATTGACCCAAAGCTCTTAAGAGAAGCATCTTCTTCTTCTTTCTCATCAGTCACTTTACTTTTCTTCTCTTCTCCGAGAAACTCGCTCAGGCTTGGGACATCATAGCTTTCATCATCACAATTTCCGACAAAATCTACTTTTTGAGCCTTGGATTCTTCTTTTGTCGGCTCTTTCCAAAACTGCCCTTCATCATTATCGATGACAACGTCACTTGTTGGCTTGACTTTTTCTTCGATTTCTTTCTTTTCACACTTCTCTGTTTCTTCTTCTTCTTCTTTTTCCACATCCATCGGATCCTCAAACTTCAACGGTTGGATCTCAACTGGCTCGTCGCAGGGGTCATCGGTCAAAGCTTTCGATACGGTGGTGCTGACCTCATGGCTACAGAATTTGTCAACAAACGTTACCTCCATACTCTCATCCTCGGACGCACATTCCATCGAGCAAGCTTCAACGACCAACTTATACGCTTCAAGTTCCTCAAATGAGTTAACATTCTCACTGTTGACATTAAGCTTGGGTTCCAAGACACTGCCGAGGTTACTACAAAAGGAAAAGAGGAAGCCTGGTTGGGTTTCAAGTGACTCAGCATCAGGAAAAGTGTCGTGGAGATGGAGAGTACTGAGTAAAGCAAGAAGCAAGAGTGTGGTGGTAACGAAGACTGGTGAGAGAAAAGATAGAATCTTGAAGATGCAAGGTGAGAAGAAGAATACGTAAGAAAAATAGAATGGGTGAGTGATGATAAACGAACAAAGGAGATGAAAGTAAGAGAGAAGAAGAGAAGAGAAAACGATCTTCTTCATGTTTTGATTCTCTTCTGGAGATGATGACAAGCCAAATTCACACATTGTTTGTCAATGGCGGCAAAGAAGCTTAGCCAAGATAGAAGATATAAGTGAGTGAGGATTTGGAAGGGAAGAGTGGTGCGAATATAAGAAAGAGAGAGAAACATCAAGAAAAAGATTGCTACTTTTGAAAGTTACCTTTCTTTTCACCCGTTGGGTCAATTCAGTACCACCACACCATTACACTTTTCTTTTGCTCAGTATATGTTCCTGGGCTTGACAAATAAAAAAGTAAAAACGGATTTATCAAAAGAATTACTTGACTTGTGCAATGGTCTAAAGGGAAGGTTACCAAAATCAATTTGTGAATTGTGATAAATCTAGATCATGTTTTGACTGTTTTGTGAAGTGTGATAAGTCTAGATCATCACCGGAGAACCTAGCTGAGAATCTAATCTAGAGTTTACAAATTTTTTGTTCGAGTCTCCTAATTGCCGTTATGAGTGTACTGCAACAACATCAATAATCTTATCCTAAGACACCTTCAATCACGGAGATAGTTAGTTCATACTGATAACTACCCAAAGTAGATTAGACTCTTAGTGGTTGCATATGGGAAAAACATTATGGGCACTCAAGTGCAGCTCATTATTAGCTCTTTTGTCTCTTCACTTTTTCTTTCTACTTCTTCGAATGGACCCATGATGGTTCTTTTTTCAATCTCCTTGTCCTTAAAAACATACATTTTACTAACCGAGAGGTATCTTAAGAGGACTTGTCTCCACCATTCCTTTTTATCTCTCTCCAATTAGTCATTAGGAATCACAAATTTGGTAAAAGCTAAATGGTTAGAGAGAGTGAGTAAAAGTGAAGCAATACTGAAATACCTCATGGTCTCAATGAGGTAGTACTACATATAGTGATTAGTGGATGCAGCAATGACAATATTATTTGTTTCACTTTTCATTCCTCCACCAAACGATCAGACAGAAAAACACATGCAATTTAATGTAATGATACTATTTGAAACTCTAGGGAACCAATTGATCAATATCAATGTTCAATCTTGAGGACAAGGTGAATCATCATCTTTGGAGGATATTGATAAACTTGTTGTGCCTTTAGCATTTGTGAAGAAGAAAAAATCAGACATAGAAACAAAAAGAAGGAGGTAACGGGAAATCAAACTTGTTGTGCCTTAAGCTCTATGCTAAATGTCGTGTTTTGCTACTAGCGACCGGTTCTGAATCACAAAGTCTAAACATCTCCATCTCGGATACACTCTGGGAAATTTCGAAGATGATCACGACTTTGGCATAACCGGCGCTTGTCCTTTCTAGTATGTTTATCTTGATTGAAGATTTCGATCAGCTTAAGATTAATCTGTTAACTCAACCGTGTGTGTGAAGCAACTTTTTCTAGAAAAAAACTTAAAATTTCTAGCTTGTTGCTTAATAATTTTTCACCTTGTTTCAAAGAAAAATCTGTTGGAAACAGTTTTTGACACATTGATCTTTTCAACTTTTCCGGTGGCTTTTCCGGCCAAACCAGTGGTCGTCTTGATCAGTTTGATATATCATTGGAAAGCTTGTAACAAGCACCACAATTTGATATATTGAAACGTCAAAAGCCGATTTAAATTGAATGAGAAATGATGTTAAGAAGTGGGCAACTCAGTGCAAATAAAACACAGAAAAGTTGTATAAGTGACTAATGCACTTTTGTCCCACATTGGGCAATTTAAGCATTACAGAGCAGTATATATATGCCTTTGTGTTATCATGGCTTAAACAGCTCAGAGAGAGAGATGGCTCCCCACGCGCGCCGCCGCCGCCGCCTGTCCGGCCCGGGCATTGTCAGGCCTAGCCCGATAAGAAGTTATCTTTTTGGACCGAATTAAGCTCAATGCTTTGCCATTTAAATTTCAGAAAACAACACGACGTTCGTGTATAAACGACATGTAGTCTGTATATAAAAGAAAAACAACATGGAGTTTATCAGCTCGAAATAAATCAGAACGAGTCAACAAAGGAGAGATCTTGCAGAGAAAGTTTCTCAACTCCACTGCCGAGATTTCTGAGAGATTTTCGCTAACGTGGTGCAACAGTTACGAAAATCAAATCTCTTTCTCCTCTTTATAAACTCGTCTTCTCCTCTTTCATTTCTAATCGCTTTTTACACAGAAAAAAATCCACCAATCTCTCAGCGTAAGTTTTAAGAGAGTGTTCGTAGAATTTTAGTTCGTTAGGTCGTTTCACGAGTAAAGCGTGATTCGTCTCACATTGTTGTATCCTGGGACTCGATATTCGTACAGTTTCGTCTCACTACGGAGCGACTATTAAGACTTCAGGAAAGAGATTTATCTCGCCTCCATGTCTTATATAATCGTCTATTTCCTTAACTCCGTCTTTCTTATATCGTTTATGTCGATTCGGTTTTCCGGCTTCTACAAAATCAACTATTAAAATCTCGACTATGAGTCTGAATCTATCAAATATATAGATATGATTGAAAACCTGTTCAAAAAATATAAATATGTAGAAATGAACACAATGTCAAGAAACTGTCAAGGAATAGGAGCAAATCTCGCAGAATAGTAATTTCGAAGAAATGTATCACTGTCCTTGACCTCAGGTTTTTTTTTCTGTGAAAAAGTTGGAAGTATCTTTTAAGAACAAAATTTAGGTTCATGTAAAACTGTAAATTCATCTTACATCTAATAATCAATCAAAATTCTATGTAAATTGCCAATTACACAAACGCCACCAATTAAATCCTAAACCCAAACCCTATATTCTAAATCCAAACCATAGACCCTATACCAGATACTCTAAATTTAGATTCTAAACCCAACCTGTATACTCTATACCCTAAACCCAAACGCTAGACTCTAAACTCAAACCTTATATCTTAAACCCAAACGCTAGACTCTAAACTCAAACATTATATCCTAAACCTAAATTTAGACCCTAAATCAAAAATTTATATCCTAAACTCAAACTCTAAACCCTAAATCCAAACTATATATCCTAAACCTATATTTTATATCCTAAATGTTTGAGTTAATGTTGATGGTGTTTCTTTAGAGTTTAAAGTTATGATTTAAAATTTGGATGGTTTCGGTGAGATTATGGATTTAGAATTTGGGTCTAGAGTCTAGGATTTGGATTTAGGGTCTAAGGTTTGAGATTAGGATTTATGATTTAGGATATAGGGTTTGGATTTAGGATATAGGGTTTGGATTTAGGTTATATGGTTTGGATTAGAGTCTAGGGTTTGGGTTTAGGATCTAATGTTTGGGTTTAAGTTTTATGATTTGGATTTAGGGTTTAGGATTTGAGTTTAGGTTACCTTATTTATTTTTAGTTATTTTTTTTTGTTTTTAAAAGGTATTTCATATTTATTTATTAATCGACATAACATTTTGATTAGTTATTAGAGGTGAGATGAATTTAATGAAAGAATGATTCTAAGTTTTATTCATATTTTAATTATGACTAAATTTACTGTAACGACCGTTACTCGACCGGTTAATATGGCTCAGAAATATTCATGCCCATTAAAAGAAACTTTAGATGTTTTTTTTTAAATATTAACTAGTGGTGCCGGCATTACGCGCCGGTTTCGTATGTTTTATTTTCTATTGAATTCCAAATATTTTTTCTATTTAATAATGGTTAGTGATAATATTGTAAGTAGTTTTCACCGATCGGTTAAATAAAAATAGTTGATAGTTGCACCAGACTAATAATAGTTTAACATAAAACATTAAATAAAGTTGATGTTCCAGAAAGAAAAAACATGTAGATGCATGTATTTATTTTGTAATTATCTTGTCAAATAAAGATAATAAATTCATTCGTCCTTTTAAAGTAGTAACAATTCTCGCATAATTTGTCAATGTCGATGTGGCAATTTATTATAGACTTCATTGTATACATATTGGTTACATAATTTGTATTCAAAATGATTCTAAATCTAGTAAGTGAATTATTAATCATAGTTCAGCATTGACTGGACTTGAATTGAATATTTTCTCAATGATAGTTTATCCAGCTATTCTTTTCCTTCTTCGAAATTGCTTCTAAAAACAATAATATATCATAAAAATACGTAGTATTGCCATAAATTCCATGTGCAAACTGGCGAAAATGGTTGAGTCCTTTGACAAATTTCCGGTGGTTGAGTATAACTTAAACATTAATTTCAAAAATAAATTATTTTTAATTATATTTTATACATATTTAAGACATTAATTTGAAAACGAAATTTTATGATAACTTAAAAGAACAATAAATTGAGATAATGATAATGTTCTTTTTGTTTTAGTCGATAAATATATATACACATTGTTATATTAATATCTTATAAATTTTAATCTTTTTTTAACGAAATGTAGGTGTTAATTTTATTTATTATAATACATTTATAGTTACTTATATGATGATATACTGAATTACTATTAAGAGTATTAATAATTTTAACCAGTTTAACTTTTAATGTATGATTCCGGAGTAAAAAAACATTTCATATGTATTATTTTTGTGATAACTAAGAGAAACATTTTAAAAGAGAAAATTTAGACAATGATAATATTTAGTTTATATATACTATAGATATATACACATACATATCTTATTATTTAATAAAGGTTACTTCGTTTATTAGATAAATACATACACATACTTATTTACGATTTTAGAGAATCTAAAGGGGTTCGTAAAGAATCTTAAGGTTTTTAAAAAAAATATAATTGAGTTCATGTTGCTTACAGTGATAGTTTGATGAGTGATGGCCTTTTCTAAATATCTCATTTATTTTCTGAAGCTTTTTGAACACAATTTTTCACGAACTTATTATTGGCTCTTAACAATACTCACAACACACTGAAAACTGTAATTTTTTTAATTATGAATCTAATATACTAAAAATTAAAAATTGCAACATGGCCAAACAGCCTTACGAACAGAGTCAAACGCTCAGGTACTCCTGCCCAAAAAAAAGAGCTGAGATATTCCTGCCCGAAATTGACCAGATTTAGAATTTAATATATCTTTTTTAAAAATAGAAAATTTATAGAAAGACCACGAAACCAAGAGAAACTTAGATAATTACAACTCTGCCTACGACTATCCAAACCCGGACCCTGAACCGACCAAAAAAAACCAAAAAACTCGGATACCCACTTCCAGATTTTGAATTCTCGAATAGGTTTCTCCTTATTGGTTGAAAAATGGAATGAGGTGAAAAGAAAATAATAAATGGAACTTG